GAGGCCAGCGGTGTCAAATTTCTTGCAAAATGTCTTGGACTCGGGCTCAAAAACTTTAATGTAGTAGGCTGGTCCTTTTGGTGGGGGATCCAAAGACATAGTAGCTGCTGCCCCAGTTTCCAAAGCTAGCTTCATGCTAGACAGTGAATCAATGGTAGAGGTCCTAGCAAAGTCCGAAACCCACTTCCTTTGCAATCCAAAGGCCCCATCACATCGGCCCTTGCCATGGTGTTCGGCGAAGAAATGGAGCTGCACCCTGGGAAAAAACATCGCGGCACTGCTCCACCAAGTTCCACAGGAACTCATAGCTCCGAAAATGCGGGCCGCAGTCTGCCCAGCAATGGAATTCTTTGACTCCATCTGTTGGCAAGGAGCGCAGTAGGTCGTTCCTGAGGGCGCAACCGACAGAAGCACGGCCGGCAACAACAACAAACAACCTGGACACTACTAACCTCGACAAAACTTTGGCGCTACTACCTAGGAGCAAGCATTGGCACGCGTAGGCGGAGTCATGGTTCAGGATTTGTGACACATAGTGATAGTTCTCTTTGCAAAGGGCTCGTCCTTTCCAGCGACACACATAGAAGCCAAGCGTTGTCATTGTCTCTCTTGAAGTAGCCCAGAACCAGTCCTGAGCTTCTTCTGGGCCTAGCGGCCATGACATATTTTCCATGAAGTCTAACTGCACCAAAATGCTGTCCTTGCTCAGTTGGTCTTCTAGAAACTCCCGGCGCTGATGCTGCCGATGGACGGTTTGAAAGTGGTGGCTGCAACTCTCAAGAACGTCCAAGTAGTTTGCCATCATGTGGCTGGCCTTGGCTTCCGCCTCCTTCAGCCGCTGTCTGAACGCAACTGTCCCCAAGGGAGTTGCCTTTTGACTCCGCTCATCTGAGGTTTTGTCAAGGAAGAGCTTGAAAAAACTTCACGTGCTGCAGGGACAAGCAATCATCAGGGTCTGTGCGGTTCTGCGCCTTCATGCTTTCCCAATGCTTGTCGAACGATTCGAAGTACTTGGCATCCACACTTTCCACTTCACCCCGGGCAGACGCAAGGTCTTTCCGCAAGGCTGGCAGCAAGACTTTGTCATACTTGTGGCAAAAGGTGCAAACATCTGTGCGGCACTTCAGGCGCACAAAGTTTGCATGGTGCGC